TTCGTGGTGTACCCATCCAGGAGTTGTTGCTGCACAAGCTCCTGCTGCAGGCAGTTATGGGGGAGTGTTAGAATATATATTTATATATATTTATGTACCTGCCTGTAGCTGTAGCTTTAGTGTAGTTATAAACTCTTTGTATTGGTGGTGCACCTCCTTTGTCTCCTATTTGTACCCTCGAGCCTATAGTGAACCCCCCTTCTTTGTTTGGCCAACACTCTCTCCCACCAAACCCTAAGGCTCTCTCTAGCTACTATTCTTAACAATTTTGTCCTTTTTTCACCCGCTCCGAAGTCGCCACGTCGTCGCCCTTTTCCGCTTTTCGGATCTTTACGCGATCGCCAGGTCGATCCGCGGCTACTGGCGATTGCCGTTTTTTTACTTCGGGGGTGCTCCACTGTTACCGTCACAAAGTGCCGCACGTGCCTTCTTCATTTTGTAGCACGACAAAAACTGATGCCCTGCTGCGCCGCAAAACTCGCATTTTGTCGGCTGCTGCTTCGCGTCGTATTTGTCGATATCCATCGGTTCGGCGAACGTGGGGGGTGCCGATCGCTCCGTGCCGAATGTACGGTTCGGCGCGAAACGTCGCGTTTTGGGTTCACCTCGAGTCAAAGCATCATATCGCTCGGCAGCACGCACGATGTCGCGGTAACTGTTGTAATTCGCTGCAATCACCTGCCGCCGAATGTTTAATTTTAACCCTTCTGTGTACGCCTGGATTTTTTCGCCTTCGGTCAGGTCGGTGATGCGGTTGAACAGTAGCTCCATCTGCTGCGTGTACTGTGCTACACTACTGTATTGCTTATCCCGATGAATCTGCTGCCGCACCATGTAGGTCGTATTGATGGGTTCGAAACGTTCGATTACGTCTGCCCAAAACTGCGCCCACGATTTCTCCGCGGGCCACGTCAGTATAGTAAATCCACTCCAGTGCCGGTCCATGCAACAGTGTTGCTGCGAGCCGAATCCTTGCTGCGTCGTGTGTCGGGGTCGAACAGCCAATGGCCTCGAAGTAAATTTCGAGGGTTGCCACGAATCGCCGGACGTCGGATCCCTTCGCGCTGGGATCGAACGCTTCAGGGAGCCTCGGTCGTGCTGCTTCGAGGTTCGGCGACAGTGGTGCCATCGGTCCGTGAAATGTCGGTGTCGCCACTGCTGCTGGTGTTGTCGCTGCTGCGTTCGTTGCTGCGTTCGCTGCTGCTGCGGTGGCGATTCCTGGTTGGTGTGTCAGAAGGGCCTCGAGTCGTCGTAGCGCCGCCTGCGTCTGCTCCATGTCGGTGCGGAGGCTCGCGATGTCGCTCGTGGTCGCATAGTTGTCGCCTTGGCCCTCCATGCCTGACATTGCGCGTCCGAAAAAACCGAAACGAGGGGGAGCGAAAAACATGGAACCAGTTTTACGTACCCGAAATCGATGTTTAACTGCGTCGCCCCCGCGGTTTTTGAAGACTCGGTTTTTAGCGGTCGAAAAACTTTCGCGTGTAAACGGGCTCTGATTACCAAGTGTGAGGATCTAGGATCGAGCTCAGAAAAGAGAGTTTGAATTGAATGATCACCTGGGTACAACACGAGGCTATATATAGGCTCGACACAAGGGCCAGTAACCAGGTGTTACGCGAAGGTTCCGCGGGTCGCGAAGCGTCCCGAACAGACCCTTCCCGAATTCGGTAGAAGGCATTTCGGTGGCAACCGAATAGCCTAGAATTCGGTGTACGCAACCTAGCTCGGTGCTATAATGATAATAAAATATAGGAAAGCACCTAGCCTAGGAAATCAAGCAATTCATGCATGCATAAAATAAACATAAGCTAGTAATAGCGTAATAAGATAAAAGCAAGCATGCATGGATGCAAGCATAAGCCGTCGTACTCTCACACGTCCCCCCCTCAAAGCTGGGTGGCGTGAGATGAACACTGCTTGACAAGATAGTCCTTGAGAGCACGGCGTGCGTTGCCCATATCAGCTTCTGCAACCCAACTGTCCTCAGTGGGGTCATATCCCTTCCAGCGGATCAGGAACTCAAGGGTCTTGCCGCCGCGGCGCCAATGAGTGAGAACGCGCTCGATCTCGTACTCTGGTTCATCCTGCACAAGAACAGGTGGTGGTGGCGGTAGCTGTCGTCCCTGGAACTGTTGGTTGGGGTCCTTGTAGGGTTTTAGTAGCTGCACATGGACGATCAAAGAGCTCAAACTGCATGCGACGGGGGCCTCATCACGGGGATCGCCTCATTACGCGGATCACGCGGTCCCTTACCGGCACCCCCCGTCGCAGTGAAACCAGCATGGACAAGGTCAATATCTCGGGGTTGGAGGGGCTGCAAAAATGGGATGGTAGGCGTTGTCAAGAAGCACGTCGCTCTCAAACGGTCAGGGCATGACGGTGTTGCTGCCGACACCTGTGACAACGACGGCTAAAAGTCCCCTTCAGCATCCCAAGCAGTAGGCGTCGTCCCCACCGTCGCTGATGCTTATGGGACCGTGATCGGAGAGCCCGGAGGCGGCGTCGACGAGGCCGATGCGGAGGCAGGAAAGGGGGTGACTGGGACTGAGGAGAAGCACTAGGACGAGATTGTCCATGAGGATGATGATCAGGTCCAGGAGGAGGAGGACCATGAGGATCGTAATGAGGAGGAGGGGCTCGAAGGAGGAGGAGGAGGAGGAGGGGGAGGAGGAGGAGGAGGAGGAGGAGGAGGAGGAGGAGGAGGAGGAGGAGGAGGAGGTGATGGTGGTGGTGGTGGTGGAGAAGCACGAGAAACAGCAAGAGGGGGAGCGGGAGGAAGAGGTGGAGTGGGAGTTGGAGGAAATGGAGGTGGAGTACGTAGCGAAGGGAGCGGCGAAAACGGGTGGGAGATTGGTGGATGTTGAGAACGAGGACGGGGAGGGGAAGGGTGTGATGTCAACGGCTCTCGAAAAGGAGAAAGAGGAGGTCGGCGTGGAGGCAGCTCACGGGGGGAGTGGGAAGGTTGTGGTCGGCGATGTGATTGGCATCGCGAAGGAAGTTGTTGACCTCGAGGCTGTTGGAAAAGGGGATAACGCTGCAGCTACGAAGCAAACGGGCGTGAAAGAGCCTACCAAGGCCACCGCAGGGAAGGCCGGGGGGGACAGGTCTAGGAAGAAGAAGACGGCGAGCTGTCATCCTGGTTCCTCCGCATCTGGTCGGCAGGCACCGATGGACGTCGTCGAGCAGCTGCAAACGGAAAACAGGCGGTTTAGGGTCGACAATCCATGCCTAAGGCGCTCGGTAAACAGACGGGTCGGGTTGACATCTTGGCGTCGGCAATAGCTGGACTCTTCGGGAACCTCAAGGCTTTGACCGCACAGGTTGCCGACACCGACCGGAAATCGGCGAAACGGCTCGAAGACACCACGTCGGCCATGTCGACCACCATCTCCGACAACCTCACCATCAGCATGGACAGCGCCTTGCTATCATTGAAGTCCTTCGCCAAACTGGCGGCGAAGATGCTGCAGGAACTTGACGACCCCAACGGAAAAATGACAGTCGAACGCGCGAAAGCGGTCAAGGCATTGGGCGGACACGTGACGAATGAGGTGGAGGAGGCGAGGAAGGTTTTGGAGGAGACAATCATTAGCCACATCAGTGCCACGCAGACCAACATTGCCGCTGCCGTCACTCGCAACATCGTCCTGCCGCGGCCACCACCTCCGCCCACCCCACGCAAGCCTTCCTGGACGATTTCATGAAGTTGTTCAAGGCAGACGTGCTAAAAGCAGTGACAGAGGCCACACATCTGTCGTTTCTCGCCTCCGGACTAAAGCTAATGATCGAGGTGGTCGGCACGATGCCGCCTGCTCGGCGTGGGTTGTCGCCGTCGGCAAACAACGACGGCCAAATGTAAGGAAAGGATGCCCAGAAGCAGGGTCAGAGGAGGGGGTGCGGCAACGATGGGGGGGGGGGGAGGGGACGCAGACGATTCGGCGAGCGTAAAGCTGAGCAAGGGAGCTGGAGGGTCCCGCGTCGCCGACGAAGGGAGCAAGGGAGCTGGAGAAGACAATTCGAAGAAGAAGGGCGTGGTCGACATCCTGAAGAAGCATTGGCTACTGTTGGATCGTCCAGTAAGGGCCAAGGAGGGGGAAGTGCAGATGGGGGTGCCGCCGATGAGAAAGCCACTAAAGGCGCCGGGCCAAGTGCTCCGCCTATGGTCGCCGAGAAGCCACCCCATCAGGCGAGCGGTGCGAAAGTGTTGAGCGACAGGGAGATCCCTGCTGCGAAAACGGGGACAGGTGCCAGAACCGGCCAGAACCGGCCAGGGGTTGAATGCCAAGGTCGCGGGGGCGTCATCGATTCCCCATCAGTCTCCCGCGGGTGCTCGCCCTCCGACTGGCCCATCTGCCGCCAAGGGCAACGTGCTGCCCCTTGCCGACGTCCCTTCTGTCGCCAAGATCGGTGTGAGTGCTTCTGTAGCTGGCTGAGCGGGGAAAGGGGCAGCTGCCGCGAACGCGCTCACGGACTAGGCCAAGCTCCTTGCGAGCCACAAGGCTGTGCAACACGTCGCTCGGCCGACCCCATCGTCGCCGTGCCATCGTTCAGTGTGCCACGTGTAGTGCCGGCCGTCGCCGCCCGTACTCCTGCCGACCAAAGTCCGCTTTGCTGCGCGCTCAGTTGGGCTCACGACGAGCGACAGCGCCAACCCCAACTCAGCAGGCAGCTGGCTCTGGCGCGATGCTGACAACGGGGATTGCTGCAGTACCCACTCCCGTGGCAACTGATGTCAAATAAGCGGCTGAGAAGGGTGTGCGTGCCACGCTTGCGACCGATATTGCTATCATCCGGGCCCACCTGGATGCAGCCTTACGCCCCAGGCAATCCCCAACACTGACCATCTCGGACACAGCACATGCGGAGCCCCCGGCGAGTCTCGCCGGTGGTTCAGCGGAGCCAATGACACAACTGATGCTGTTGGCGAGGGAAAGTTGAAACGGAAGGGGAAGGCCGACACAGGGAAAGGGAAGGTGAGCTCTCGGAGGAAAACACGGGCGATGTCGGCGACGAAGGAGATGTCGGCCGAGACAAAGAAGGAGAAGGCGAAGGTGATTCAGGAGGAGAAGTCGGTCGGGAAGGAGAAGTCGGTGGAGAAAGGGAAAGAGAAGGCGGAGGAGAATCAGGAGAAGTCGATCGGCAAGGGTAAGTCAGTGAAGAAAGGGAAGGAGAAGGAGAAGGCGGCGGAGAAGGAGAAGGAGAAGGAGAAAGAACGGAGGGGTCGTGGCATCGACCACGACCCCTCGGGCGACGGGCAAGGGTGGGTGGGTGAGATTAAGGTACTCGGCAGTAATTGATACATCGGCAAGTTGCGCGACAAGATGGCTGGCGTACCTGCACTCGATTGCGTACATCGTCTACGACGGTTTTGTGAGCCGGGTCCCCATGGACGGGCTCACCGTCTTGGAGGAAACCGAGTTGGAAAAGTGGAGGAAGGTGTTCAAGGAGGTCAGGATCTTACCAACAGGGATGTGGACGGTGATATGGGCCCGAGGCACATACCTCCCAAAAACACGGTAAGTCGGATACCCTTTGTCCGAATGATGACGACGAAGTCAGAGTCACTAATGGTTGTTCTATTTGGTATGTTTGCGTGACAGGTTCGATAATATTCTCGAAAAAGTATCGGGGGTACAAGGGCTGAGGCGATGCGCTCCACGACCCGCTCTTGCCGGCGATTTGGTTCCCCGTCGATGACGACAAGAAGGAAGGCAAGGAAAAGTCGGCTGCTATAATGTCGGCCATGATAGGTCGCGTGTCCATGTGCGCTGCATTTGGTAAGGTCATTGCGAGCGCAGCGAGAAAGGAGGGAGACCCGGATGAGAAAACGGTGATGGTGGCATAGGCTTTAGAGGCCTCCGCTTGCGCCGTGTGGTGCTTCGTCGAGATCGACGACGCCCAGCTGCTCGATGCTGTGGGCGAAGGGAAGGCAGCGGCGATGGTGGCCGATGTGAGCGAGACGACCACCGATGTCTTCAAAAGGGTCATGTAGGCGTTGCTGGACACCGAGATCAACAGGGAGCAACCCCCAGGGGAGGTTGCTCACAATGTCGGGGGGAATGCTGGAGTAGATGATGACGTGATCGCTAGAGCGAGAGTGGAGGCCATGGCGTTCTAGGGAATGTGCCCCGTCGTCAGGCCGAAACTCAAATAGATCGGCATCGTAGTGCCGTGTGACGCGCAGATGGAGTACGATCTTGACCGCAGGGGGAGGAAGGGGCAGAGGGGCCAGCAGGGCAATGACAGCACGGGAAGAAGGGGAATAAGGGCAAAAAGGGCCAGGACAGCACGGCGGCGTACTCGGCGGCCGGAAGGGGCGCTAGGTGGTCTTCTTGCTAGAGTGTAGTGCTGTTGAAAACGGCGTCGCTTTCGTTTTCCCTTTGTCGAATCGGTTTGATACGAATGTACAATTTGCGAGATTGTCGACTTTGCGTCGGAGGTGAAAGAAACCATTCAATACCAAGATGAGCCAGAATGCTATGCGCCCATTCACCCCGGCCTCATTCTACTTCGTTGTTATGCGCGGCGTTGTCGGCTCATGGTTGCCCGTCACATGCCCAAATTTCGGTGTCTATATCCACCTGATCAGTACAGGCTGAATTTTACACTCACATACTATGCGGTGATTAACCAGGTTAGATCCAACAACTCATGAAAGGATGCCATAAAAGGATGGGTGTTTGCAAGTATATTCGGGTAGTATGATGGTCGGCGAATGACTGCAGTTACCATGGTTGGATGACGTAGGTACGCATGGGCCATATTCTATGCATCGTGTTCGTGTTTACGGACCTCCGAAACGATAAAAGCACTAGAGTTAACGATATAAGAAGTAGAGTTTGTTTAAGTCGACTACAGCATCCAATTACGCACAAGCATATGCTCCACCTATTTTCACGCCATCTTCTTGCGCTTTGTCGGACGCCGCTCCTCAACGGCGCCCTCTTTGGCCATGTCGGCCACGGTCTTCGCCATCTGCTCCTCCCAGGTGTCTGGAAACAGGTCGGAGAACCACTTTTTCGTCTTCGAACCCCGCGCCACCAGCCTACAGGCGAAATGTAGCTTCGGGACCACCTTGGGGCCCAGACCCTTGACTTCCATGCCTGACTCCTTGGAGTACGTCGGTGTCGTTCCCGGCTTGAGCACCGTAAGGGTATTGCAGAATGTCCCAATGCCCGGCGTTGTGATCTTGTTTAGTGCAGCGATGACGGCTTCGGTGTCGGCCGCGCCGTCACTCGAGCGAAGAAGGCGCACTGCATCCATGGCCTTCAGCATGTGACGCACCTTCATGTCGTGTGCACCCTATGTCGGCCTTTGAGGAGGGTGTAGCGGTCGACGAATCCCGGCTCGGCGACCCTGTCGCAAAGATGACGGGTATCATCGGCGGTGGCGAAGTTCCAAAGGCGTCGTCCCTCATGGTCTTTGCCTCACGCCAAGGTTGCACCACGTTGTGTACGTAACTAGCCTCTTCAACCGTCTGTGGGGGTTTCGGGGGTTTCTCATCCCGTTTCTTGCCTCCGGCACCCGTATTTGCCGAATCCGCGGAGCCTTCCTCGCTCGGCGGTTGCTCGTTTGTAGCTGGCAGCGCCTCTGGCATCCTATGAGCTTCTTAGACACAGAGAGCTTCGGTGAGGCGGGTTATCCCGACCGTCAGCAACGCGATGGTCGCGTCGCGCTTCTCGATGTCCTCCTTGAAGTCGATCTTCTCGACCGCGGAGCGCTCCCTCTCGTACTTCAGCATCGCGGTGAAGGACATGACTGCGTATTCGGCGTCATGGCGGACAGATATCTCCTGCAATGGTCGGCGGATGATGTTGAATGTGAGGGGTTGCAATGTTCACTAGACATAGGCCGATGTCGACTTGATTAATGTCTTACCTCTGGCTGAATGAGGGTCAGGTATCGCCACTTTTTTATCGTCTCGGTATCGACTTTTTCGTCCCTTTTCGCCCAGTGCTGGAAGAGGGCAATCTAGCAGAGCTTAGAACCTTGGACGTACGGGTGCCAAGGGGTGCGGACGAGTTTCACAGGAAGGTCCTCGGCGACGATGCGGCGCAGCATCTGGAGGGTACACCAGAAATGCACGGCGACAATGTCGGCGTCGGACCCCTTGGCAGCAAGTTCTTCCGTCTGCAATTTGACAAGTGAAGTCGGTGATTAGAGACGGCCGGTCGGACAATACTACGACGAAACTATGTCGACGCCGACTAACATACCTTGCTTAGCAGGTCATCAACGCCGGGAAAGATGTGCTCGGCGATGATATCCTTGAGTTCGTCGGAGGGTTCCACCCTGCTGCGACCCAAGCAGTAGTCTTGCTTGGCTGCCGAATAGCCGGCCTTCTTCATCACCACGCCGACGGGAATGGCTGTGATGTAAGCTCGAATAATATTCTCGATTGCCCAGTGACCCAGCTCGGCTATCTCGGCGCGAGGCGTACCGTTGATGGCCAGCTCCTGCGCCCCACCTGCTCGAGCGGCGTGCACGTTCCGCTTGCAGAACACCTTGTTCTTCTTCCACAGCTGCCTCGTCCATCGTTGGTGGCTGGCAGTGGGGAGTTCCTGTTGCTCCTTCTCGTTCTGGGTGAAGAAGAGGTGCTTCTTGTACCAGCGCGCGCGTTCAGTGGTGTCCAGCGGCGAAAGGAAGTCGACGCCGTGGAACTGTCCGATCTGGTCGAAGATGAAGTGCAACAACAGGCCGGTCTCGCCGACGGCGCACACCCCACCTCCAAATGTCTTGCCGCGTAGCTTTGCTGGAGGCGGGCATCCTTCGACGTCTTCGAGTTCCGCGCGGCAATCACCATAACGACCGCCTGGTTCTCCGGGTTCACCAACGAGGTGCTCGCCAGTCGGTACAAGAAGATGTCGGGGAGCGTGATCTCGCGGATGCTGGCACTGCGCAGGAGACTGTGGTGGGAGAGCAGCGTGAGCACTTTGAAGAGCAGAAACCTTCACAGCATCTGCAAAGGACCAGTTCCTCGCGGGTTCCATGCCGACGCCGCCCGTGTCGGTAGCACTCTCATCATGATCTGGCGGAACTGTTTGGCGGTGTATGTGTCGCCGATAGTGCCGCGACGACAATCGCCGCAATTTCTATCCAGAGAGCAATAAGTGTAGGTTAGTTTTACGTCGTCGACTACAAATCGATGACGACCAAATTCGGCAGTGTCAGGCAACTTACTTGAGGTCCCTCTGGTTCTTGGTGCGGACCATGACCCGCACCTCCGACCGGACAACCGAGATTTCTCGCATGATGCCCAACTCCTTCTCCTTGTAGAGAGTCGCCTTCACCCTCGCCGCCATCTGGCAGGCCTTAATGCGGCCGAGGATCATGTGCACCGTGTTCGCTTTCACCGGCGCGTTCGACTCGGCATCGAGCTTTTCCTCTCACCTCATGAACTTGATGTAGGCGCACAGTCGCGTTTTAGTGACCCGCGGGCCGTGCAGCCAGATGTATTTCCTAGGGACAACCTCCTCGCTATCCCTAACCTTGCTCTTGTTATAGTGGATCCAGTGCCCGATCTCGTCGATGTGCCTCATTCGGAAGTGCGTATTTCCTTTAGCATGTTTGCCACCCACCTTTTGTAGTGGTAGTTCCACAAGGTGTAAAGCCTGAGTGTGCTTTTACCCTTCAGGGTTTCCAGGTGGCGTATTGCCTGCATCACGACTACGTCGACGCATGCGTAGACCATATCTTCCTCAACGAAGTTGGCCGCCTTCCACTGTTCGCGTGGCACCGCCGTGTTCAACACGTCCTCAAGCTCGTCCTCGTCCAACAATTCCTCTATGAACGGATGGTCCCCCCTGAGATGTTCTTCCAACGTACGCGGCCATGTGCCACGACGGGGCCGCGGGTCGTCTTCATCGTCCTTATCGCTGGACGATGACTCCTCTTCGATTTCCTCATCCTGGTCGCCCGCTCCGTCCGGCACCGACGACGGTCCGGCCTCTCCGACATTCGTCAGTTCCGATGTTTCGCGTAGCTTGGTAAACTCCCCTATGGGCGGGGGTGGAGTGTCCTTGGTGAACTCTCCTTCCAGGATTTGTGTCAGTGCCTTGAGGTCGTAAAGCAGCGGCAGCGTTGAGAGGGGTTAGCAGTCGGTGTTCGGTCTACCGGTCGGCCAGCTCCCCCCTGGCCCGCAGGGGGAGGCGTCCATCATGTCGACGTCGGCCATTTCACTTTGGCGGTTGGTCTACCATGATCGCTGTGTGAGGAATGTGGCGGACCAAAACAAGCAATACTGTGTCACGTTGGTGATGTATGCCCGATGAGTTGCATTGGCATCAAGCTCGAACTCCCTCTTGAGTGCTTCTAACTCGGCGACGATCTCCGCACGTTCCACTTGCGCTTTGATGTTGGCGTCTACCGTGTTCGCCGGGGGTGGGTTGGATTGCGGCAGTGTCACGCTAGGCTGTCTTCCGGCCATGCAATGGCGACCTAATCACGAAAAAGAGGAAGTCGGCGTGGTGGTCGGTAGACTATACCCTGCTACGTCGATGTAGACAGTATCCGATAGTTCGGTGCCCTACACACGGACCAGCTACGTCTCAAATTAGTTGCTATGGCTACTGTGCCGACCTCGACGTCTTCGTCAGGTCGGCGGCCGATTCTCCAACACGCCTGAAGATATTATGGGAGGCAGAAAAAATAGGTGCCGGAGAGCGGAAAGAACGTAGACAAAATGGCAGTCAGAATGAGCGACATTGCCTGTGGACACGGATGGGTATGGACGTAAGCAACTCCGCACCTATCGCGCTCCATGCAAACCTCTTTGCAATCGCTGCTATGCATGTTCCCTCATGCGGCGGCGTCGTCTCCGACGTGCCGCAAGCCATGCATGGCTGTTGGCTAGCAGCGCGTTGCACATTGAGTGCAATTCATAACTGTTACATGCTAGCATGTGCATGCGCTATGTGGCGTGGGCCCCGAGATGGTGCCTCACTCCTTGAATGCCGTGATAGAAACTTCCTGCGCAACAGTTCGAGGGCGTAAGGCACGGCCGCGTGGCACCCCGACGATGCGCTTTTGATCGACGCCGACATTTCGACTGCCAGGAGATTCATTGCACCTAGACAATGAAGGGGACGGTCAGATGTCGCCTTGTGTTTCTAACGGCAA